TGAGCTTCTGTCTGTCTTGCCTGTGTGATGATGTCCTATGCAGGCACAAAAATGAAGTTCAAAGTATTTTGTTGTTTCTAAGGCTATGGGGTGTGGGTCCCGTTTCCTGGCTAGACGCCTCACACATTTAACCAGAGAGAGAGAGAACCTGTTGGGCCACTAGTCTCAATCTCTATTGCCGGTTGAGTCACCATGATTTACATTCTCTCACAATTCCGTCGGGCACGGGGTGAAGGGCACCCGGGTTGAGTGATTTTGCGTTTTGGAACAAGAGAGAGAAGAACCGAGAAACTTGGGGAGCGGCTGCCAATTGTAGTGAACGCTCCTCATGAGTCCACGTCCATCAACCTAAGAGAGAATAGTAAAATACTCTTCATGTCCTACTCCCTCAGTCCCAAAATAAATTGTATGTTTATTATTCACAAAATCCAATTTCATTAACTTTCTTTCCCTATTTCCACTACTCATTATGATAAAATAATATAATCATATCACTTTTTGTTTCGTAGAATACAACAATCCAGTTGGATCCCTCGAAAGTAAGATTTGGGGAGGATGTGTGTACACAGACCTTGCCCTTACTCAAAACCCACTACAACATCTGCATCTCCACCACATGAAGACTACGCACGTTCATCTTCTTAACCGCCCAACTCTCCGCCCATAACTTGTCTAACTACGGACCATACACCATAGTTGGTCTGACTACAGGCCATACACCATAACTGGTCTGACTACAGATCGGTAGAACTTATCTTTCATCCTAGACGAAATCTTCTTATTGCACAACACCCTTGAACCCAACTGCTCCAACACAATGCACAACATCCCCGTCCAACTACGCATCTGCCATGACCGAGCCAAGATGCAAAAACTTGTCTACCTTATGCACTGGGTGGGAATCCATCCTAACTTCCACCCCTGTCAGCCACTGCAGTGACATCCCATATATTCACTCTTGGTCCTACTCGATCTAAACCCTTTAGTCTCTAGGGAAAGGCGCCAAAGTTCTAACTTATCGTTTAACCCCTTGCGTGAGTCGTTGATAAGCACAATACCATCCGCAAAAAGCATGCACCACGGGACTTCTTGAACTCCCCACGCCAGGATTCACAAAGGCGAACAAGGAAGAGCCAGTACTTTTGATGTAACTTTTAAGTATGTATTTTTTTAAAAAAAAAATCACCCCAATTTTCATATAGTTTGTATTGAACAAAACTTGAATCAAACATTGTAACTCGAAACATGTCATTTAAATTGGGACGGAGGAAGTAAAACATTTGTCCACCATGTTTTTTTAGTTAAGTTGAACATTATCAATAAAATATAATGAAGTGGCTTATTGCTCCATTCGAACAATATTTTAATAAAGAATTTTATTGCTCTGTACATATTTGCACGGGAGAACAGAGATGGATACTCATACGGCCACAAGGTCATGAACAGTAAAACACTAACTTTTCCATATTTTACAAAGTACTTGTGTTGAGACATCCCAAATACCTGGAAATGTTTCAGACACGAGAAGAATCCGTGCAACATAGCTGATAAGCCTTAGATCGCACATAGATGTTTTCCCAATTACCACGTACCAAATATAGAGGAAGACAAGATGGAGTCGAGCTAGCATCCTTAAGGAAAGCAAAATACATATGCCGGTTACCTAAAAGAGAGACATATCCGGGGGAGGTCCGTACACGCTCTTCCAAGAAAACGGGACAATCCATTTGCCAGCCTCATTGCCTTGCCGAACCAAAAAAAATAATTAATGATAATATAGTTAAACAAATTGCTCGTGAAACACGGGGGCGGTACTAAAGTAATTAAACAAACTCACCCCCGAAACTTTTAGTTGAGAGGCTGAGAAGTTGTGATGCAGCTTCAGCCAAATGAAATGCTTCGGGCATGTTGTCTCCCTCCGAGCAATAACACATTAGGCATGTAACCTTCACACCTTTGGCCTGGTACAATAATATATCACCACCCCATCATATTTATCTATGTATGTGTGAAATTTATGTATGCAAATACATTGAACAAGAAGAATTAACCGTTAGAACCTTATACAGAATATGTGCTCGTTCTTTGGTACTTTTTCTAAAGTTTGAAGTCTAAAGTGTGAATTCTGAAAACTCAAGTTTGGAGTCTTGAGTCTTAAATGGAATCTCGAGTCTTAAATCTTGAGTCTGAAGTATTCTTTCAATTAGAGTCTACAATCTTGAGTCTAGAGATGTCAAGTCCTAGAGAACAAAGGCGTATATGGGAAAATAAGTCCATTTTTTCACAAAATCTTAACACTATCACGTCCTACTAAAAGAGTCCAATTCATCCAAAATACAACTTTCTATTCTTAGTCAGTTTATTCAAGGTACAACCTTGTACACATTACAAATTGCGAATATCACCCTAACCCTAAGCTACTATAGTTACAAGTAATCGACCTTATGCTCAATGAAGGGAAAATGTTGAAGGGATCCAGAGAGATAATAACACATAAAGGAAAGGGACAAATTTTGGAGTATATAACTAAATTATCTCTATTTTATCAAAACGACAATTCATCTTTTTTCAGTAAGTAGGGTGACATTATAGGTCTGCATACACACACCTTCTCAAGACCACTCTTATGGGATCTTACCGAGTTGGTTGTTCTTGTTGATGAATGAGATTATAGGTATAACACTCAAAATTGAAGTTAGCTCCCAAAATAGGACTCTCATTATGGGACGAAAGGAGTCATTAAAAAAGAAAGTGCTTCATTAAAAAAAAGCAGAAAAGAAACTTTGAAAAAAAAACTAACCTTAAAACAAGAGAAAAGTGCAGCAAAAGGTAGACTTGCAAGGTAATCTTCATCTCCCAGCTCTTCAAAAGGCCAATCTTCTTCCCCATTTTCAGCTAAATTGCTTAGATGCGTCCACATCCTCTGAGACGGGTTATATTCTTGCAACATCTTGAACCCTAGTCTCTCACATTCATCGTCCTTTCCATCCAAGCTGGAACTAGAGAGATAATATGTCTGCAACCCACTGAAAACTATAATTTGTTTATAATTCAATATGTTTCAAATATTCCAGCCAAAACCATTGAATACTAGCATTTCACAAATGGTAGATAGCAGTTTGTTAAAAAGGATTTGATTTAGAACTTAGAAGTTAGAAGGTTTTGAAAATATGTTTGGTAACTAAGCACAAATAAAAAAAAGTGAAACTAAAAGACAATGTTGAAATGTTGGTTTTCAAAATGCTGATCGTATAGCATTTTGCAGCATCATTATTAGCACAATGCAATCAAAATGTTATTCACTTCATCCCTTAATCGCAAAACATATGACAGTTTGGAAAGAGCTCACAAATTAAGGATCCCCAGAAAACGTCTATTCTCTCTACCCTTATTTAACTTCAACATTAAAAGGATGTTTATTTGTTTTCAAGCAACACAAGCATTAAATGTAAGAAGAGCTAATGTAGCCATATAGGCAAATTTGGAAAATTAACAGAAAATATGCATTGAATTTCTAAAATTACAATAATTTTAGGACAATTCTTTCCCTGTTTTTGCTCTAACAAAAATCAATTTGGGACAGGAGTGGTAGTAACAATTACACTTGGACCAGCAAGTCCTCAAGTTAAACTCTATATCTCAATTCATCATAGGCCTGAAGAACAGGTTAGAACATGCATACATGTAGTAATCAATACCTAGACATATCGATGCTTTGCCATCGACCAAAATCCAAGCTAGATAGCAAAACAATGTGCTGTATTCTACTAGCAGCAGCAAAATCTGCCAAATTTCTGGCAAACTGGACCATCATTCCCTGTTTAATAATCCATTGGCAAGCACTGAGTACTTCATATATGTCATGCTTAGACAAAACTCACAAAAGAATTCAAAAACATTCTATCATGCCATAAATATTTTGAAAAAGCCATGTATAGGTAAAGATGTTCCTTTCCTGAAAGAAAGCAAATGCAGTTTTCAAGCAAATATGCAACCAAACTGCAATGTGTATATAATGCATTTCACATATCCATGAAATTCCAAGGGAAATGAAATAGAAGACTATTAACCAAAAGAAGATTATTTACATGATGGGAAAATCCGTGAGTCTGTGACAGTCGGTATGTTTCACATAACTTATGACCTTTCAGAATTCAGATGTGATGGCGGTATACAAATATTTTTCAATCTACACCCTCAGGCCCCAGTAAATGTTATTTCTTTTCAACCAAGATGCAGTTGTGGAGCACTCCATGTTGAAGGATAACGTGTGATTGTCCTAACACCCAGAACTCCAAATGAAAAATTCTAAATAAGATATTGGAGACTCTTCACACAAACAATTCCAGTCTTATAAAGGCAAGCTTCTTGATCCGGATTCTCTTGGAAACAACCTATCTACTTACAGGTAGAGGTAAAGTCTGTGTACACAATCCATCTCTAGACCCTACTTTTTGAGTGATTTCATTGTGTTTGTTATTGTTGCTGTAACAGTGTAAAGGAAAGCTTCTTGACATACATCTCACTTGTAATTTTATGTCCATTAATTAGAAAACACAAACTTACTCAATATATGACTGATCATCAAAATCACATCCCGATAGCAAAAAATGCACCCAAGATACCACATAGACACAAATGTCCAGGGAAACCTAATTGCCAACATTATAGAGACTAAAGATGGTACCTTAACAACTGGAGATCTCTGTTGGATGATGCTCAGCTCGCATGAAGAAGATTCATAAACTGCAAAACACAATAAATCTCAGATCCTTTCATCTTTACAATCAGCCACTGCATATCACGAAGAACTAAAAAAAGAGTAACCAGAAAGAAATGAAAGGTATACCTTCAAGAGGAAGAGATAGCTGGCCTGGCGGAGCAGCTGTATAAGCGTCATTGCCAACGCAAGGAAGAACATTCGGGTCGTCTAGAAACCCGACCCGATCGGCTCTCAAAGACGACACAAATAGATCCACAGCAAGCTGTCCTACATTCCCAATCGAAAGCGCCGGCTACATGAAACACAAAGAATTACCCAACAAATTTATCAGAAATCAAAATGAAAAAAAGGGGCGAAATCAGAGAGGAGTTCTGAAGATCGAAACCCAAGGAACATACCAGCAGCAGAGTTTTGCAATTCCGACTGGATCGCTTCCCTTCTCCGGCGTAAAACTCCATCATTCGGCGCGAGCTACGGATTTGAGCTCTGTTCAGTTGTTTCTTGGACTTTCTTCTTCGGGAAGGATAGCGTGAAAGGGCCGATTCGAAGTGCTAAGTGGGCTGTGCCATAATTGGGCCTGAAAAATTAGGAAAAACTCTGGTACAAAGTGGGCGGCCTCATCGGGCCAGCTAACAAGCTCCGTATTTTGCAATCCAACTCGCAACAAATATGGGCTAAGACGTCTAATCAATTATAGAGACCCTTTTCTTTTCTATTCTTTTTTTGTTTTGAACAATAGTTGCATTTCGGTGAGTGACTTATACAATTACATGTGGTTCGAATGACATGTCATAACTTGACTCGAGATTTCTATCAAAGTTTTGGTAAAACTGGTAATTTCTACCCCTAAACTCGATATTTTAATCGTTGTACGTTATTCTTATTCATCATTTATTTTAGTTTGTTTTAAAAATAAAATACACTAATTTTCTTTTTGCCCGCCGATGTAGAACCATCAATGTTCTATGTTCTATGCCTTTCTCTCAGGAGGAAAGGCATAGAACATTGGCAGAGGGTTCCGCACGGCATCTTCGACGAATCAGATCTCTCCGACTACGAGGTTTATATTTTCGCTTATTGCTTCTCGATCTATATATCCGATCAAATCTATATGTAATGACTCTCATACTAATCTCCGTTTCTTTTCATAAAAAAAATTGACTACAGATCTTCTGTCCTATGTTAAGGCTCTTTTACATCATAAAGGAAGATGACAAGGACGCATTTGTTGAATGCATTCACGAAGAAGCTGAAGAAATTGGTTGTGATGCGTACGTATATATGCATCGCTGAAAATGGGTGAGATCATAATGGAAACTTTCTTATTTGGCGTTGTAAACTGTGCAACTGCTCTATTACAAGGACAAACCATGCCTCAAGCCAGACCTTATAATAAATGTTGTTGATCGGGAATCGGGTATGACTGAACTCCATCACGCAACGCAGAACCTCGAACTAACTGAGTTGTTTCTTCGCTATGGAACTCGAACTGATGTAAGATGCAAGAAGAATGGCATGCTACCTTTAACCCGTGCATGCTTGCTTATCCATGAGGGATTTGCTGCATTTGAGGACTTTGAATTGAAAAGGTTTCGATTTCTTCTTCTTTTATGTTGCGTGCGAATGATCTTTCACCTATTCTCGTTTATCAAGTGTTCAGAAATTTATGTTTGGTATGATTCACTTGTACGATAGATGTCATGACTTGAATCACTGGAGTGAGAGTGACCGTGCCCTTTTAAGTTTCCATGTGAAGTTTTTCAAACTATTAGGTAACCGTTCTATACGTTACTGGTTATTATGCAAAGCAATTGATGTTCAAGATTCCTGTTAACACGCTATTTTTTTCGTTTTATATAGAAAGCAAAGTATTTGGAAAAAATCAATTCGGGATGCAATCGACCATGATTACACACATTGGCAACCATGTGCCGCTCATTACAGTATGAAAAAATGGCATTCAACTGATTGCTGTGTTAATATTTCGAGTTGATGGAACTTTTATTCCACCGAATATAATAATCTTACAAGATCTCTCAAGAATTATAAAATATTAAATGAATAAGAGACGAGAATATTGAAGAAATATAATAGGATTCTTTAAAAAAAAAGAAGAAGAAAAAGGCACTCACTTATGCAGGTGTCGTGACCTCCCATATACAAGAGGTCAAGTGCATTCGTAATCACCCCGTGTATTCTTGCGGTTGCATTCAGGGCACTGGCAGGCCCTCTTTTCTTTGCATTCATCAATATCTTATCATAGAATATGATTTGAAAGTTAAAATTAGCATAAATATTAATGGAGTTTGAATTCCTAAGTTTCATCATGGCAAATGAAATTGAATCCCCCCCCCCCCCCGACATCCCAAAAAGGGTGACATCGGAAGTGTTAAACCGTAATCTTACCTTCACAACTCTTGCCATCACCTTTGAATCCTGGAGGACAAGTGCATTTTCATTCTCCATTAATCTGTTAGAACGAACTATGAGTTTAGAACTGCATGAACTATGTTGTGTGTTTTGTCTATGCTCATGTGTTTGAGTCGAGGGTCTCTTGGAAATAGTATTTCTGCTCCAGAGTAGGGGTAAGGTATATATACACACACCCTCCCCAGACCCTATTGTGTGTGGGACTTTATTGGGTGTGTTGTTGTTTGATCTCTGGATTTCATTTTTTCTATTTTATGTACTAGATTGAATATCTTGTCACTTTGACACTTTGAGCCCTTCCAATAATTTATCCAGCATATTTTTGTATTATGTATACTAGATTATTGCTAGATAAGTGACAAAAAAGGACCACAAGTAGCAAAAAAGAGTCATACGTCTCAACTTGTTTTTCTCCCATAAAACAAGTCACACTATTCATCTTGTTTGAAAATGTAGGTATATTTATTGTTTTCAATAAGCGGACTCCTTTTATTACGAGGGGGGGGGGGGGATAAAAAAGAAGATTAATGCAAGAACCTTGCAGGCTGTTATGTTGGCAGCCTTGTCTTGCCAGCAGCCACCATTGTTGTCTAAGCAATCGTTCCTCTCTATGTCTGCGGTGAGATAACAGAGCATCCGTATTTAGGTAATGATTAAAATTTTAAATATGTCACATGAAAATTAATTTTATGATTTGTATGTACAGGGAGAGTAAGAAGGAAAGAAATACTCTTTGAAAAATGTAATTATATTTATGAAAATTGCGTTGACAAAAAAGAATGTGACCTTACTGGATGAGACTCTTTTTTAGGAGTAGAATAGAAGGTAGGATAGAAAAGTAAATTAGTATAAATGAGTTTTGATAGACTTTAATCCACCAGAATTATGACATAATCTTGTAGTAATAGTTCATCTCGACAGAGAGATTAAGCAAGATGATGTCCTTTGTGTTGAGTGTTACTTCAAAGTCCCACATCGGTGGGATAGGAAAATTGAGGAAGGATTGGAGCCTATAAATAAAGAGGAGATGTAGGCTTCCATCACACAACACAATCCTTCAATCTATATAATTGTGTATTAGATTTTAGGTTGTGAGTGTCAAATATTGGAGAGGGTTTGTAATTTTTCCGTGCAAAAATTACTAGTGAGATTTTATCTCAGAGGGGGTCGTGGAGTAGGTCTTGAGGTGCCGAACCACGTTAAAAATTTGTGTGCTCTCTTTTATTTTCTTTCCATTTATTTGCAGTGGGGCCCCAACAAGTGGTATCAGAGCCAAGGTGCAGAGCCCGGGTGATCTAGTAATTATAATTCTTAGTATGCTCTGTGGTTGCAGCTTTGACTGATCTTCCACATCAGAAAAGAATTATTAATTACAGAGTTGCAGTCTAGGGAGGAAGGAGATAGAGCAAGGAGCAAGACGAGGGAGTGCCACTTCAGCGGAGGAGGTGGTGGTCCAGTCAGCAGAGGTGAGTCCGTGAGTGCCACGTCAGCAGTTTGTGGGTCCGAGTGCCACGTCATCATCCAGTCAGCACCACGTCAGCGAGTCCAGTCATCAGTGGGTCCCATTGCCACGTCAGCAGGTCCAGTCATTGTGTGGGTCCCGCTGGTGACTTTCGGGGAGAAGTTGGTTCTGACTAATTTTGACGTCCTGAATCCATTTTTGAGGCCAGTTTCCTCAAATTTGGATTGTTTGGTATTGGTTGATTGCTGCTTGAGTGGAACTATGACTACCTTGAAGTTTGAAGTTCCGTTATTTGATGGAAGAGCGGACTTCATGTTGTGGCAATGCACGATTCAAGACTATTTGGTCCAGCAAGGTCTTGATTTAGCATTGCAAGATGAGAAGCCAAGTGATATGAAAGAATCAGAGTGGAGTACAATCCAGAAGAAGGCTGTCAGCACAATTCGGTTGGCACTGTCCCCACAGATTAAAGTGACAGTGCTGAAAGAGACATCACCAAAGAAGCTGTGGGAAACGTTGGAGAGCAAGTTTGCGTCGAAGACACTTACTAACCGGTTGATGATGAGNAAGGAGGACTTGCAGATCCTAAAGGAGAAGAAGGGCAAATCGAAGGAAGCTTCTTCCGCAAATGTGATCACTTGTGAAGATGATCTCTTCTGAAGATAAGAGTACTGCTGGACAGAAGATTCTGCAGGATGTGAGTATCGCTGCAGAAATCGCAAATGATGTAGGACTTTGAATTAAGGGGAGATTTGTTGAGTGTTACTTCAAAGTCCCACATCGGTGGGATAGGAAAATTGAGGAGGGATTGGAGCCTATAAATAAAGAGGAGATATAGGCTTCCATCACACAACACAATCCTTCAATCTATATAATTGTGTATTAGATTTTAGGTTGTGAGTGTCAAATATTGGAGAGGGTTTGTAATTTTTCCGTGCAAAAATTACTAGTGAGATTTTATCCCAGAGGGGGTCGTAGAGTAGGTCTTGAGGTGCTGAACCACGTTAAAAATTTGTGTGCTCTCTTTTATTTTCTTTCCATTTATTTGCAGTGGGGGCCCAACACTTTGTAAATCAAGAGTGTGATCCCTTTTCCATGGAAGGAGAAAGAGTATTTATAAGGTGCAAAACGCCAACCAAGAGGAAGACACTACCTCCCACAATCCACGAAGACATGGAATCGTGGAACATGATCATAGAAGATCATGGAGATCATCTCTTGTCTCCTAACCCTAGCGCGCCTCAGCATGTCACTTGGCAGCCTTGAACCTCACTTTTAGGTTGGGACAGACTTGAACCTCATTTTTAGGTTGGGATAACCCGACCAAAATCACTTGGCCTTCATCCTTACAAATAGTGGCCTAAATACAATATTAAATGTGGAATGGACCTTGTATAATGGGACTTACCATATATCTTTGTGCCGGTCCTAATGTACCCATCAAGTATACTTCTGGGCGTTTGAATTGAAGAAGAAGAAAAAGTAAATACTCTCTCCAGATACGTTAATTGGAATTACTAGGTTTATTACTTGAATATTGGAAACATCCGTTGAAAGCCGACACCTTGTCGTAGAGACAATGACAAATCGAAATTAGGGGTCTTCACATCAATACATGCATTTTGATTTTTCAATGTGTCTACGACAAGGTGTCGGCTTTCAACGGATGTTTCACATAACCAAGTAATAAACCTAGTAATTCCAATTAACCTATCTGGAGAGAGTATTTCCTTTTTAATTCTATCAGTATAGTAGTCAATTTCCAATTGACTCATGTGCCTCTGTCCCTGCAAAAAGAAAAAAATTAGGTGAGTTGGTAATTGTTTGATCAAGCAAATGAACAACCAAAAATTGATGACGAATGAGTCCCACTCGGGATGACTAACAAATAGACAAAATTTGCAAGACTGAGGGTCGACAACCGACCCCCACAAACTGACTTGTCGTACATACGGCAGGTTGCGACTGAAAAAAAACAAGTCAAATAACCAAATACTATGTCATCAAAACGTCGATCAAATTTGGATGGATGAAGAATGAACATGAGAGCCTTCGTGCTGCGCGTGGTGCGAACAAAACATAACAATTGATACACAACCACCAACTTGAAGATGAAGGACCCTCGGCGGAACCCAATCAACAAAGCCAATTAACAAAGCAGCAACAAAGCCATGGCCAGGAATCCAATTAGCAAAACCCACAATTACCAACACAAACTAGCAATTGCGGCTAGTAGAAAATTGTGGAATTAACAAATACGGAGGTTGCAGCGACGGTAATTTAAGACTTTAGCGACTAGACCTTTGCATAATGAAGCCACCGAATTTAGAACATTCAATTCATGCATGCAGCATATAAACAAAGAAGTAGTAACCGCTAGTCTTTTAGTTGCGGAAACTTTGTAATGTTCCAACGGATGGTGAAAAGAACATGGAGACCGTCTGAAATGGGCAGCACAACAATTGGTAGAGGGTACGACAAAAACGAACGCAAGCGAGGGTGATGAAGGGACAGTGAATCCGCCATCGCCGGACCAACAAGCTGAGAATGGCGGCACAACGAATGACCTTGATAGAACAAACTAGGGTTTATGTTCTTAGGTTTGGTCCTGATACCATTAGAAGTTTTATAAAGACCAAGACCTAATTATGAGTTCAAAGAATCCTAACTCGGTCATGTTTTCTCAAACGTACCTTTTTTACTTATTACTTATTCTTATTTAGATCAGACCAAATCATATCAAATCAAATTAGATCAGAAATAACATTAAATATAACTACATTCAGATGAGATCAGACCAGATCAGATCACATCGGATCAAATTAAAATTTATTCCAATTAGATCAAAACCAATCAGGTAAAGAGAACACGACCTACATTCTAATACCAAGAGTTCATAACAAAGCTTACAGCGTAGGGTCGTGAGAATCCAGCGATCTGAGCAGGCCATACCACAGGCGTCGAAATCGCCCAAATTTGCCCATACCAACTGCGATACCACCGGCTCGTACGTAGCAGGTCAGCCGCTCCAATATTTCCATACAATATTACACTCTTCCTCTGAGCAGGCACTGGCGATCTGAGCAGGCACCGGCGATATTTCGGATCTGGGCTCCAACAAGATTTCGCTCTTCCTCCACTGATCAACAGCTGAGCAGGCACCGGCAATATTTCGGATCTGGGCTCCGACAATATTTCGCTCTTCCTCTGATCAACAGCTCGGACAAATTTCTCATGTGTAAACTTAAATGAGTGTTATGGAATAAAAAAAATGGATCTCACTCTCTACACTTCAAAGAAGAGTAAAGTTATATAATGTTATGAGATCACCCGAGGGCGTTCTGGTGCCCCGTTCGTAAAATTGACGGTTCCTACCCCGCCTAATCCCCGGTAATCCCCACCCCGCCCCGACCCGAACACACCCCACACCCTTTAATTGCACCCCATAAGTCAATTTTGACTTTGAAGTCAAATTTTGACTCCAAATGTCATGGGAACCTTCCCCTATCAAAATTGGAGTTCCATGTCTTATCTTTAAAATAAAGCTATATTGATATTTTATAATTTTTTGATAATATATATTATTATAATTAGTACTCCCTCCGTCCCCCTGTATGTGTCCACATTTGATTTTTGAAACTGTTCATCTAAGCACTTTGACTCATCAAATTCTCTTAATGTGTAAGCCTAAATATAGTCATGTGTGATCTTGTTTGATTTGTCTTACTATATAGATTATTAATATATAATTTTTATAATTTTTTAATATACAAATTACAAGATAAAATGAATTAAAGAAGTGCATTGAATGGTGTGCAAAAACGAAAGTGGACAAATACAGGGGGACGGAGGGAGTACTTTATATGTATTTTAACTTTTATTTTGGAATAAAAATATAAAGAGTAAATTCCATAATTAGTAGGGTCTAATATTAGTTAAGCGTATAACACAAAAATAATGATTATGATTGTGGGCTAGGATTCCGACGAAATATCACATTTGTAGACTATGGTTGTAGTAGAAAGCAACTGTAATTCACAAACGACGTAAACGGAACAGTCTTTGGAATTGTATATGACAAAAAAGATATATTATCATTGTGAAATTACATTTTTAACCCTCAAATTAACACCAACATGATAGAAGATAAAAAAGGCCTATTTGTGGAAAGATGCTCATAAAAGAAAGACTACTAGGGTAATATTTATGGAAAGATGCCCATAATAGAGGACTAAATAGAGAAATTCCCTCTTATAAAGAATCAATTATGGAATTCACTCAAATATAAAATTATATTTTAATATATTTTTAATGTTTTTAGACTCCGTTCAGTTCAACTTATTTTTTCTGATCTGATCTGATTTTTTGTAGTTCTGATCTGATCTTGTCTGATCTGGTCTGATCTGATCTGATTAGATATGATCTGGTCTGATCTGATTAGATCTGATCTGCTCTGATTAATTATGATTTGATTTAAAATTCAAATCAATAATTTGATTTGACTTTATAATAAAGTTTGAAACTTGTAATGATAATTCATATTATAATATATTCATATTATAATATAATGAATATTTTTTATTTTATGATTATTCTTTAAAGAAAAATAAAATTAGTTAATTCATATATTAGAATAATCATTCATATTATAATGTATTACTATTTTTTTATTTTATGATTATTTTGTATGAAATAAGAATATTGATTTAATATTTAATTCATATATACATTAAAAAGTAATTAAATTTAGATAATGAATATAGAAAAGAGATAGTATTTTTATTAAAATATTTCATTCTTATAAAATATCAACGTGTGCTATGTACTATGAAACCTTTTTTATTATTAATATAGCAGCATAAATATAATAATTATTTTAGTTACACTAACATATACTCCGTATATGAATATCCAATGTTAATTTTATTTAAGTTATGATCAGAGTTGATCAACTCGATGTAGTAAAAGATCAAACTTTAGAAACTCAAATTATAAGTAGCAATAAAAATGTATTTTAAAAATAGAATTAGATTGACATTGTTAATATATTTTAAAAATAATTTTTCCAACGTCTAATAATTAATGATTAATTTCTCAGTTTTCTATTTAACTTGTTTCTAAAGTTTATTCTTTTTCATTTTAAGAATAATAATAATACTAATAACAACAACAACAACAAGAAGAAGAAGAAGAAGAAGAAGAAGAATAATAATAATAATAATAATAATAATAATAATAATAATAATAATTCTTAATTGGATTTGATCTAATCTGTTCTGATCTAATTGGATCTGATCTGATTTTAATAAGAATAAGAAAAAATAAGTTGAACGGAACGGGGCCTTACTCTTATCTGATCTGATCTGATCTGTTTTGGATATTTATTTTTATGTCGAGACGGTTACATTTAAATTCAGGTTTGAATACTTATAAAAGTGTTCAAGAAATTTTTTAGATTTAAGTACATTAAGATTTTAAAATTTTAGAGACAACATAATTTTTAAGATATTAACAAAAATAATAATGGGTGAAGGACCCTCAAAAAAATTAAATAAAAAATTTCAAGTAATAATTTACGGAGTATAAAGAAAATATCATATGGGTGACACACAAAAGTTATCTACAATAAAAAATAAAACACAAAGAAATGCAATAAGTTTTAAAACATTCAAAAGTATGTGTATAAAAAACATAGAATTTAGGAATTTAGGGTTTTTTAAAACTTAATGTAAGTCAGGTATGGGTCTGTTCGGGTCAGTCAAATATATTGATCCAAACCCGACCCAGATAATTAATTTTTTGTTTGGATTCGAATATTATAAGCTCCGGTTGGGTAGGTAAAGGTGAGATTTGAGTAGAATTATCATCCCTACTTTCGACGTTGAGTTTGGGGCTTTTTAGAAACATTCTCTCTACTTTCGAGTATGGATAAGGTCTGCATACACGCACTGTCTCCAAACATACTCTGGTAGGATTCAACTCGTTGTTGCAAGGCTTGAATTGAAAGGTTTCAAGAGATAAGGAATATACCTCTATATGGATGAAAGGTGATGGGTATAATATACGCCCATGAATACTCTTCGGTACAGAGGCTATCACGTACCAACAAACCATCCTGCTACCAATCGGTGGAGTACTAGTCTAGAATCACACTAGAGGTGACAGATCATGGTTTATGTCCTTCAGAATGAGTTGGGTGGATGCTTGATTAATAATGTTTGGTGACCAGGAAACCTTTGAATTGGGTGACCGATTATTGTCTTTGTCTTTTAGAATGAGAATCTTAGCTATTTCATGAACAATGCAGGGTGACTAGTCGTTCTTAGGATTGCATTACCGGTCAGAGTTTTGGTAGTTTAAGTAAGTCCATAGAAACTCAGTTTCATGCTCCATGATAATGTGACTGGTCATATTTTCTGAGTATTAGCATTCGAGTGGCAGAGGTCAACGTCAAACACCAAATACGATGAACGGCCACATGGCAATTCTTGTGTTTGGATGTGTAGATGTTGGCATTAAACAATGGGATTTGTGATCGGTCATGTAACGTTTCAAAACACACCCTAAATGTATTATTGAATTATTATTCAATCAAAAAAGTTTGTTTTGATTAAAATAAATTATTGTTGAGCCTTTTGTCTAAAATTGAATGTGTTTTGATATTCAATATCATGAATCTGGATAAATCTAATAGAGACAAATTCAATATACAAATGTTATGTGTGGTCTTGATTATAGGCCAGAGTATAGGCCTAAGTTAAGATTAAATAAAAGCTTGTTTGATTGATATGAACTCTTGAATGATTTATTAAAATAGAAATATTTGCATTAAATAGCACTAAAACTCAAGTCATTTCCTTAAATAGCACTTGAATTATTTTATTCCCTAAATAACACTTAATAATGTCTATAATGTCCAGTGATGATGAATATTTATTTGGATAATGACTAATGCATAATGACTAAAAGTGATATATTGGGAAAAAAGTACATGTGGTGCTATTCAGGGAAAATCATTATGTTTTAGTGCTATTTAAGTAAATTTCTCTTAAAATAAATCATTAGCTTGAATAAAATGAATTGGAAATAAGAATCTTTTGAATAAAGTTTAATTGAATCAATTTTGACTCTGTGAAAGTTAAACACCCACAAATATGATATTTGTAAAAGTATAAAATAAATATGAAAAATATAAATTTCCGTATAGTTTGACTGCCTAGTCACAACTCGCAATGCTACAATCAGATTTTAAATTGGAGAAAGTTGGACAAAAAAGTATACCCTGATCGGGACCATTTAAGTCCCAATCATAGAGTAACGTATGAAATCGAAGGACATCGCATCTTATCCCATTACACCGAACGCAAAATCAGAGATAGCAACCGAACCTTGTCATTTTACTCATCTCCTCCACTATATAAGCGCACTCAAACTCCTTCAATTCTTCACCATTCTTTCTCATTCTTCTTTCATTCTATCCCTTGTTATGTGGAGAGCAAGCTAAGCCGTAGTGCATCACCACCGTCATAATCGCCGAGGATAGCCACAGTAGTCATTAGATGTTTCGCTGCAAAATTGTTTTTCTCTTTGTGTAGCTTAAAGCGAGACCCTAAATATATATAATGATAAGAATGTGCATTTAAATCGATTCTACGTTCATAAATAGTTATTTGGTTGAGTTATGTATTAGAAAAGCTCAAAACACATTTTTGATGAACCAAGAATCATAAACCTTCAAATTATTGTTAAAGCTTTGAATTAACTATTTGAAAATGGTCTATGGATGTTAGAGAATATTTTTATAAAGTTAAATTGAAGTTTGGTAACTTAAAATGGTGTTTTGAAAGTTTGGACCGAGGTTCAAGATGACACTGTGTAAAACTCCCGCAGTGACGGTAGATAGATATCGCCTAGATGGATGTTGCTACTGCTCGAACGATAGGCCCTACCACCAGGGCGGTAGCTGGCCACCGCTTCAGATTGTTCTCCTCTAGCGGAATCTGTCACCAAACGGTACCAGGTACCTTCGGGACGGTATCCAGGTACTAACACTAGTACCCGAGTATAGAATCAGGTACTGCTAGCTATGAACTTCCACCTCTAAGTATGTTTTTACGTCAAGGATTCATTCTGAGACTTTGTTTCTTGTATGACGGTAAGCTAGAGTGACAATACTCGACGCTAGGCTACTACTTATCGTTAAACATTTAATACTTTTAGTAGCTATGAATCGGCCTTCATAATCTCGCGCAATAAATCCTAGGCCCACGTACATATCAACAAATCCTGATGAGGCATCTACGTTCACCTTTAAATAATTCACAGGTGGCCTCTCCCATTCATTTGTTGCACAAGGTTCAACTCTAAGATTAGTCGATGTGGAATTCCTAGGGGTTGCCATCCTCCACCAGTCTTCATAGTCCTTGTAAGTCCGCGTCCAGACCTCTAAGGGAGAGCGTTTCACTACCTTCCAAACCTTAGCATTACGTGCAGACCAAATCATCCATAGAAAATGGAGCGCTAAGCCCTTATCGTACTCATTAAACAAATGCAAGACAGCTAAAAGCCAGTCGTGGAAAGATACCACAGGTGGAGCATACCAATCCAAAAAAGAAGCACCCGAAACTTGGCGCGCGAATGGACAATGTACAAAAATATGCAAAACCGTCTCTTCATAAATGTGGCAAAGCGGACAAACATTGGGGGAATAAGAGCTTTTTTACCCAAATGCTGACACATGTAAAAAAGTATGGGCGTTTCAATACTCCCTGGCCAGAAAAAATGGTCACTTTTTAATTTTTTAATAAAGTTATATATATATATATATATACACACACACACACACACACACACACATACATATACACACATATACATATATATATATATATATATATATATATATATATATATATATATATATAAGAATGCATACGATTCATTAGATTCAAGATCTAAGAACTATTAAAATTTAAAATTTTGAAAAAGAAATCACAGTGACAATTTGATAAATAAATTGAATTATCTGAAAATGTATTTTCTACGAGTGTATAATGCATCACGATGGTCTAAAAGTATCAATCACATATTGTGATAGTAAGAATATTCTCACTTGAACCAATATGTTTGAATACGTAATGCTTGTGGTTTGGACGTTTGGTGTACCCTATCAGACTATTAGTAGATCGCAACTCTTTTCACTACAATTCCTTATTCTAGGGGTGGTAAAAATACCGGCCCAACATTATTTCAAACTGAACCGGCATTGTACCATACTAAAAAACATGTTTTCAAATGGATCTAGTAAATTACCAAAAATATTGAACCAAACCGTTATTACTAATAAAATAATACACACTTCATCCCTAAAAACCTTTCTCCTTTCTTTTTTCATCCGTCCTATAAAACATTTCGCATTTCTATTAAAAAGTCACTTTTACACCTTACTTTTTCACACCATACATATCACATTATACCTTTTTACTAATAATCTATCCATCAAATCATATTTTTACCCATCACATCAAAGAACATTTTTGGAAATTCAATACCAAAATACACTCCACTTAAATCCTCTTCAAAATCAAAACTCTATGTTTTCCGGGACGGAGGGAGTAAGTTAATTATTTATTTTCATTTAATTAGTTAATTTTTAGCAAGTTTAGGTGTTATTTGGTGTGACTTTAACATACTTAAATTTATACTTTTATAGTTTTTTATTACCTTGAAGTGTAACTCCAATTATAATTTTATTTGTTGAAAAAGTGAACTATGACTAAGTTTTTTCAAAATTGTAACTAAATTGTACACATGTTTTGTAAGAAACAAAAAATGCATAAAAAGATTTGTGCACAATTTTTTTATTATATACTACTTCCGTCCCACTCATTTCGTTTCAAATGAGTTGACAGAGATTCGTTTCACTATGTGAAACTCATTTCGTTGAACTATGTTCAACACTATGTGAAACAACGAAATGAGTTGAACATAGTGAAACGAATCTCTGTCAACGAATTGTGAAACTCATTCGAAGAGGAAGGCGGGTCCTTCGTACTTCTATCGGCGACGAAAGTAGCCTATTCACGCAATCGATTATAAAGCACGTTATTGCATCTTTGCCAGGGTAGCTCATCATTCATTCCAAATAGACTCGAGTATTTGTCCACTTTCATTTTTACTCATCATCCAATACACTTCTTTAATCCATTTTATCTTGTAATTTGTATATTAAAAAATTATAGAAATTATATATTAATAATCTATATGTTAAGACAAATCAAACAAGATCACACATGACTATATTTAGGCTTGCACATTGAGAGAATTTGATGAGTCAAAGTGCTTAGATGAACAGTTCCAAAAGTCAGAACTGGATGAATACTCCGGGACGGAGGGAGTATATTCATTGCAAAATTGTAACTGAACCGTAAGAGATTATGCCCACACTTTCCGTATCCATTGCTAACCATCTTAGACACATTCCGAATTTCGTGTAGGGAAACTGGGATTTACGTACGTTTGGAATATTTTTTGGTGTAGCTCTAACATTAGATTGCCAATCTGGCAAGGCCAATTTACTTGAGTGGTAGTGAGTCATCTCAAATTTGTTTTGAGATTTTTTACTCATTCACAATGAGTGAGTTTCATTTTTATATTTTTACACATTAAAAATAACCCCTATTTGTTACGGAGTATTCAACATATTAAGAAATTAGTCACAACATACTCAAAGACTCCTACGTAAATATACCCACAATCAACCCAAATCGACTGATTTGGTTGAAAACGACTTATTATTGTTCATCTACATTTAATTTCCAGGGTCCAAACAATTCACACCACTTTACGTCCAGTAGTTTTGCATGGATTTACGTTCACTACAGTAAAACTCCCATTTATCGATCGATTTTACCGTTACTAATCACCGGCAAATCTACAGTTTGATCGGTACGGGCTAATAATCCGGTGCGTGCTCCGTCACGCTCCACACTTTCACCGTCTTGTCTAAACTCCCGCTGTAGACCAACCACCGCCGGTCGCCGCCGTCCTCCTCCCCGCTTGCAACCTCTTCGACCGCAAGGCACTTGATGGGCCCACTGTGCCCCGTCAGCACCGACATGCAAGCGTGGGCCCCGCCTTCCTCCCTCCTCCACAGGCATATGCTCTTGTCTGCAGACCCAGTCGCCACCAGACTCCCGGTGGCGGCTAGGCAAAGCACGGCGAGTTTATGGCCCCGGAGGACTCCCCCGTAGGTCATAAACTTCCCCTCCATCTCCCAGAAGTTGACCAGCCCGTCGGATGATCCGGCGTATAAGTAGACTGTCCCAGACTCCGCGCTGACCGCCAATGAGGTCACCGCGTTGTCCTGCTTCAACAACGTGCCAACCGACACGAGCTTATAGTTACGACTCCTGCCTCCCGCAACTTCCCTCCTCCAGGCTTTCACGGTCCCGTCAGCCGAGCCGGTGAAAACCAGTCTGTCAAATCCCACAACGACAGAATTCACCGCGTCGTGGTGGGCTTTGATGGACTGGACACATTTGTTGTCGGATAATCTCCAGACTTTAAGGGTTTTATCCCAAGAACCGGAGTAGAGCAAGCAGCTGTCTTGGTCAACGCTCATGCACGAAACGGCGTCGTAATGCTTCAGCCAGGGGACTTTCCGTCGCCGGCGAACTTCCACGTAGCCATTCGGGTTAATGGCGGTCTTCAAGTAATCTTTGGTCGTCGGCAAACTCCCGACCCGTTTGTAGGACTGGTTTTTACCGCTCCAAATCCGGATTTTACCGTCCTGGTGGCCGGTAAAAATCTTTTCACCCCAAACGACAATTGCCTTCACGAACCCGCTACTCGACTTGAACCCGGAATAGTCTCTCAAGTTTTTCCAGACCCGGATGTTCTTGCTCTCCGACCCGGTGTAGAGAAGGCCGCCGGTGGCGGCGACGGAGTACACGTGGCCGTCTTCCCGGAAAAGAGTTCCGACGAGGTAGTTTTGGTCTGCCGCCGCGTCTTTTTCTTGCTGGTTATGGTTCCACGGGGACCCAGTGTAGGGAGAGCCGGAGGAACGGTTCCGGTAAGGGAAGAAGTCGGAGCTTCCGGTGGAGGAGAGGCTGTTACTGCCGCCGGCGGAGGAGCTGGAGCCGCAGGAATCGCAGCTGCTGAAACTGGGGTAGTCGACTTTGTTTTCTGCGGGCGGAGGAGTTGTTTCGCCGTCGCCGGGATAAGACAGTTCGCGGCTGCCGCCGCAGTTTCTCGCCGGCGATGAGGTTTTTGGCGTGTTGTTGTTGTCATTCCTTCTTCTTGCCATTATGATTAATGAAAATGTGGCGATGGAATAATTAAAGTAATAATTAAGGTGGTGTGAGAGAGACAATTAAGCGTGTTAATGGAGACACGTCTAACTAATGTAATGTTGGATGGTGGGAATGGAGAGGTCCATATTTATAATGGCCATTCTTTTTTTGAACAATAATTAATGGCCTATTTTAAAAGTTTACAAAAAATTCTACAAAAATGTTGCTCTAAAATATTTTTTTTATCAAATGAACAATAAAAATATACGATTCAACCAAAATTATTAAGAGACTTAAGTAATAATCCCTCCGTCCCATAAAGAGAGACATGTTGACTAAAGTGGTAAAAATAAGGGAGACATAATTTTGTGTTAATTTTTCAAAAATACCCTTGATATGATGGGATAAAAGTAGGATGTGGCGTGTACATTATTAAGAAAAAAACATGATGTGATAGGTATGATATCAAAAAGTAAGGAGTAAAAATGATTTTTAATATAAATGAAAAGGAGATTGTGCGACACAATTTTTTTAAAATGTGAAAGAGTTTTTAGGACGGAAGGGTACTACGGATTAGAAGTGTAAATTAAATCAATCATATTGGTGGGGAGCTCGGGAGTATGAAGTAACTATTTAATGGTACATTATTTAATTTGGGTACAAATTAATAAACTACTTTCTCAATCTTTAATAAATTTGCTCATTTTTTTACCCCAAAGAAATACAAAATGTTGAAAAAAAATTAAACAAACAGATCTGAAAAATTAGTTACTCCGGATTAGTAGCTAGAAGCATTAATTTTTACCATATATTTTTCTTTAAAAAAATTGAAAAGAAAAAGAGTTAAGATTGTCTTAGAAAAATGAAAAAAAATAAAATTATTTTTGTAGCGTAGAGGTAGTGAGAAATACAAAAGGCATAAATATAAAAATATTTTACAAAAACTTACAAAAAGCATAAATAATACAGCATGCACAACGTATGGTAGAAATTGTACCATAATAGTCCATTATCCCTAATACGTACAAAAGGCATAGATTAACACATATACATAGAACTGTACGTAGTGATATGTGTATAAAAAAATATTTATTTGTGTACTTAAAAAATAGAAATGTCGTACTAAAAAAAAGTTTTGTATACGAAGTGCCTTAGAAACAGGGAATAATATTTTTTGTATTTCACAAAGTGCCGAAAGCTGAGACTTTAAAATTTTACCACTCCAAAGTTTTGGGTGGTTGTGTTAAAACGACTTTTTTTTGTACGTAGTTGAAATTCTTACAAATGGCTTATTTTTATTGGACAGAGCTATAAGTCAAGAAATTAAAGATTAAAATATTCTGTATTAATTAAATTAAAGTTGCGCAACGTGGGACGACCCAAGAAGATAATGGTACAGTATTAGCATTCTTTATGACAGTTCATCACCCTAATCTGGAGTTTTTTTTGACCATTTATGGCGAATTGTCTTCCATCTCAATTATTTTGTCTCAAGTTTAATCCATTTAAGGTCATGTGTTATGGAGATTGACCACCGGTGTCACTGTGCCTGTCACACCCCGTCATGGTGTGGCCACGGTGACACTGCCAACGTGACACGCATGGGGCTGGATGACTACCGCCGGTGTTGCTGGCATGTTTTTCGAGAAAGAAGTCGTTGCCCATTGGCTTTGTAGTCTCGAGCGTTGCCTTCCTTTTCTTTTTAAAAAATGATCGTTATTAGGTTCAAAAAATTAAATAAATTGAGTAAAGATGAATGGGTATATAAACTCTTGAGTTGAACTAACTAATCGATTAGATTCAATCTTTTAATGTGGTTCAGCCCAAGTGTCTTATTGCCCATTTCAGTTGTTCATAACCCATCCTAAATTTTCTACACGGTATCGGAGCTAGTTTTGAGTTCTTGAGACCTCAAACACACTTCTTCCCCTGCCGGTGGGCATACACAATTCAATCCCTACCGGCAGAAAAAGGGTTGTTATATGGAGACAAACAACTCTTTCCGCGTCTACTGTTAACGATCGACCGACATCGCGTCCATCGATCGTCGCCTATTGTTGCTGCCGAAGTTCCAGAACGGTCGACCGTTGCTAGAGAACGGTCGAGTGGGTCGACCGTCCAAACGGCAGTTTCTCTTGATCGCGGTTACTGTTCACGATCGACTGGCATCGCGGCCATCGATCGTTGCTCAGTTTCCGTGGTTTGGAGCAGTTCCCAATTTGTACGTGTAGGAATTGTACGTGGGACCTGCCGGAGAAGCTTGCGCAGATGCACGAACCGAGGGAACGTTTGTTGCAGGTTTGGAACAGTTCTCAATTTGTACGTGTAGAAATTGCACGTGGGACCTCCCGGAGAAGCTTGCGCAGATGCGAACCGAGGGAACATTTTTTTGGATGTCCAAACTATGCATGTTGAACTCTCATGCTCCAGCTTGAGGGGGGGTGTTAGAGATAGAAGAAGCTAAGGAAACGGGATTGAAGAAGGAAAGTGTTAGAGAGAGAAATAGGAAGCGGGATTGAAGAAGGAAACCAAAAGCCTTTGGGATTGGGTTTAGTATCTTTCCTAGTTGGATTAAGTTTAGTATTTAATATCTCTCCTAGTTTGTTTAATTCTTATTTTAGTAGGAATAGAAATTTCCTTGTTTACTTTACTCTATTCCTTTATAAAGAGAGTTAGATCTTTATATTCAAAATAAATCAATAAGCCAATTCAATATACAGAAATAATTTATCTCTTATTTTCTACTCCCTCCGTCCCAAAAAACCTTTCTTCTTTCTTTTTTCATCCGTCCCAAAAAACACTTCTTATTTCTATTAAAAAATCACTTTTATCCCTTACCTTTTCATATCCTACCTATCACATCATACTTTTTTGCTAATAATCTATACATCAATTTATACTTTTACCCATCACATCAAAGGACATTTTTGGACATTCAATACCAAAATACACTCCCTTAGAGCATCTTCAACCACACTTGCTAAACATGACTTGCTAAAGTTATTTTTTAGCATGTGAATAGTGGTATAGCAAGCCATTTTACATTGTAATCTCCCACCTTTCCTTGCTATAATTTAGCTAACAATTATATTATATTTTTTTCACTATTATAATACTTTCCTTATAATAATTATTCAATTATTATTTATATTATAAAAATTAAGTAATAATTATGTAATTTAAAAATAATAATTTCGAAAAACAAAACGGAGTAATATTTTACTTTAGGGAAAATAATAAAATATAAAGAGCATTTTTTAAATATTTAATAAATACCAATTAAAGAGTAGAGAAAAGAACTTTACAAAAAGTAAAAAAATTAGAGAGTTGAAGTAACTAAATATTTTGAGAAGGAGAATGAGAGAAAATAAGAAAGAAACCAAATATTTAATCAATATCATGGTTGCTATATTTTGAGAGACTTGTTATATATGACAAGCCAAAGTTAAAATTTACCAAAGTGTTTTATAATATAGCAAGCCCCTTGGAGCACAAAAATTGAAATGAATTGCCAAATAATGACATTTAACAAGTCAAAACTCAATGGTTGGAGATGCTCTTAAATCCCTCTCCAAAACCAAAACTTTTATGTTTTCTGGGACAGAGAGAGTACATATTACATTGGTTAAACTTCCACTATGCCCTGCTAAGGTGTGTGAGTCATGAGACCTCAAACTTAACACTTTTGCATCATTATTTATTATTATTGGTATGTTCTTTACACACACACTTTTTACTATTTAACAATCCGTGCAATGACAACCTGACCGGACAATAACTAGGAAGAGGTAAATTAAATTTAGATCGTAAAATAGTGGTAAAAATAAAATATGTACCGGGTATTTGCAGAGCTTATACTTAGAAAACTATTTTGAATGCATGCATCATTGAAGGGGACCGAGGGGAGGTGTGCATGGTACAATGTATAGTGCCATCAACCAATTTCCACAGTTACGTGTTAAACTCATCATGAACAGTGACCCCTTTGATATCGACAAAGTCGACGTTGACTTTTTCGAACACAACCCGCGACGCAACGGGGGGAACCGGTAGGTGCCCATGTGGGCCACACCCCCAATTACCAGCCGCCACGCGAGCTGAATCGGCCAATGGGAGCCCGCCACGCTCCTCGTACGAAACACGAAAGCTCCGGGTGTGGGCCCGGTGTCCCGACACATGGCGGAAATCTGCCTCAGGATCGTCGCGCTTTTGTGGCTACGAATGGACAGGTGTTGTTTCCCGCCGGACACCTGGAGCCAATCTCGCGGTGGATTGCTAGTAGAAATACGGCGTCGTAATCATTTGCGCTACATTGGGGAAATTTATTTTCACAATACGGATGAGTATTTAAGACAAATTTGCGTATAAAATTCGTATATAAAAACAATGTTCAAATCGATCTCTTATTTAAAATTACACCTCATCAAAATTCCTATATAAAATATGCTTATTAGAATTTACTTTTGTTTTCTGTGTCTTTTTAATAATTTAAAATATTATTGTTCTTTTAATTATTATTATTAATGTTTTTATTATTATTTTACTCCCTCCCTTCCTTAAAACCATAATCCTTCTTCTTTCATTTTTTTCAATTTCTTAAAGCATTTACTTTTTCTATTAAAAAACTACTTTTATCTCAACTTTTTCATATCCTACCTATCACATCATACTTTTTCACTAATAACCAAATTACTCCCTCCGTCCTATAATGATCTTCCCGGTTCGCAAAACGAAGAAAAATCTCAAGTTTTTTCAATCTATTTTATTTAAATATTGGTATAGAAATAAAAAATAAAACATACATATTTAAAAACTACACCAAAAGTTCAACAAAACAAGTGGTGACAAGAATATTTTATTTTATCATATAGGCAATGAAAAAATACAAATAAATATAAATTCCCGTGAAGTTGGAATAGTGCTCTGGGAAGATCATTATAGGACGGAGGGAGTATCAAATCTTATTTTACCCATCACATCAGAGGCAAAATTGGAAAGTCAACTAAAATTATATTTTTCTTAATTTGGCTAATAGTCAAAACAGAAACCTTTTAAGGGAACAGAGAGAGAGTATTATAATTACACTAATAATAAAGATTTTAATTCATTTGTGTTGGGCCGGCCCTTGGGCTTGAGTATAAAATCCGAGCCCGTGGACTTGAGTATAAATATTTTTTGAGTATATTTTTTATAACACTGTTTTATTTAAATTATATTTAATTTGTAATTAAAAATTGTCAAAATTTGACCAAAAATCAAAGTAAGAAGGTTATTGTAGGATGAAGGGGGTAACTTTTAATTTTATCACCGATTGTATAAACCTGAAGTTAATTAATAGCATCTCCAGACCAAATGTTTCTATAGGTTCTTAATTTTTTTGTACGAATAATTGAAAAAAAATTGAGAAAACCATAATTTCAATAGTTTTTTTCTTTTAAATTATAACGATTAATTTTTTTAAGGTTCTAAAAAATAGTAAGTTTTTTTAAGGAGCTAAAAAATTTACTGAGCAACAGTTTAATAGAAGCCAAACTCTGCTAAACTCATTGTAATTTGTAACAGTTTAAAATAAATAATTTCAAGGGTAATTTTTCAAAAAAATATATTTTGTACGAATATTTAAATTACTGAATTCCATTAAATATTTAATTTTAATATTTAATAATTATTTTTTACTTGTTCATTATTTTTTAAAAAATATTTTTAGTATTTAAACTTTATTCATTTTTCAAAATGTATTTTGAATCTAAAAGGTAATACGGAGTATAAAATTTAAGATATATATATATTTGAGTAAAATAAAAACAATTTTGTGGCCACATTTCGAGGGAGATTGGAAGAACTTTGGGTTGGAGTTAAAAGTTAATTCAATTGTTAAAAAATTAGAAGAAATAATGTGGCATGACTCACAAAGAGCCAGTGATTTACTGGGATTCGAATTGGGTGAATTTCTCCATATATCTTGGAAAGTAAGTTTTCTACCCTTCAAGGCAGGAGAGAAGTTTATTTATGAACATTGTTACTTTACTCCATTGCAACCAATTATATTATTCTTTTTATAGAATATAGACTCCGTTTAGCATCAGTGTTGGATGTTAGTGTTTAATGTTTTGAAAATGTCATTTGACAGTAGCTCTTGGCGTTAGTGCTTTCAAAATTAATCTATACTGTTAACATTGTATCTAAAACGTTAACGCTAATAAAATATGTTGTTCCCAAACAAGGTCATAGCCACACAATCACAAGTGCTAGTTACATTATTAATTGCTTCTCTCCTTAAAAATAAAAAGTAATTAAAGGTTACTTCAGCGGTAATTTTGTATTTTTTGAGACATCTACACTATGTTTGTTTCAAGGAATTTGAAAGAAAAAAAAAGAGGTAGAAAACAGTTTATCATGTTTGGTTGGAGAGGAAAAGTTGAAGGAAAAGAAAATGAGAAGACAAATGTACTAAGTCGAGAGAAGATCAAATTCCTCCTATTTTGGTGAAGAAAATGAGAGAAAATTATTTTCTTTTCTTTTCCTTCAAAAAACCTTGAACCAAACATAGTGCTAAAGTTTGATGCAATTGATTCGTGAACAATTGATGAAGAACAGAAAAAACAAATAAATCTGAGTTTATTTTTTAGTTATAAACGACGGATAGAACAACACATTAGTCAAAGCTAATTACTGTATAGTGCATGTATACCTGCAAACAAGATTCTAACCTTGGCATTGAGTTAAACTTAGCTTATAAAGTTCAAAAAGTAAATACGGAGTATGAGTATTCTACTTCGGTCCCGTTTGACATTAACGTCAAAAATTAGCATTAGCATTTTGAAAAATCTATCCGACGGTAGCCTTTAGCGTTAGCGTTTTCAGAAATAATCTGCAGTATTAAAATTTTATCCAAAACGCTAACGCTAATCGAAAATGTTGTTACTAAACAAAGCCTTCGTATATCCCGAGTAGAGTTGAGTGCTTTAATGTAGACCTAAAGTCCCACAAATAAATTTGTAAATTTCGTGACAAATCAAGAAGTGTATACTAAATTGTACCCCGAACATAGACTCTAGTATTTTAACAATTAACACTAACACAAAATATTAATTCAATAAAAAAATTTGCACTAACACAAAATATTTACTCCGTATTTATTTAGTTTATGTTTAATTTGTGGTAAAAAATGTTCTTATTTTATTAAAAAAATCAAAACAAAATTTTTTTAATACCGGAAGGAATTACGAACTCTTATTTAAAGAATAAAAACACAGAACTTGAAATTTTGGTATTTTTTTATATTTTAGTGGAGTGATTTCTTCAACAATTCCTCAAAAAATTCAGTAAACGCGTTGATCAAGAAAACCCAAAAAATGGGTCCATTGAAATTTCAAGGTCCGTAAGCAAGAAATGGTCGGATCTTCTCTTCTTAATCCCCAAAGTCCTCTCCTTTGACTGGTAAGACTGTTGTTGCACATACCATATTCCCCTTCTCCATTTCATACCCATCTCCACTGCACACTTGAAACATTCATCTTGGAAGATTTGTAGAATCCATTATTTAGATTTAAGTTTTATTTTTTATGTGAGTGTGTGTCTCTAATATACCACTCAAAAGTTCCAGTCTTTGCGAGTTCTTACTTCTTAGCTTGAGGAATAAGGGTTTTGATTTCGCTTTGAAAATAAAAATTCAGTTTTTATTTTCAAGAATCTTTTTTTGGAAGGATCTAATTGAAGCAGAGGAAGGATTCAAGATTTTGGGATTAGTTTTGTTAAATTGTTCTGTGTTTGATCATTTGCTTGAGGGGACTTGTAATCTGCAAGTGGTCTTTGGTCCCAAGAATCTGAATTGAGTTTGTATAATGACTAGCATCTTGAAGGGTATATTCCCAATTTTGTCCCCAAAGAAATATAATGAAGGTGATGATGATGGTGAGTTTGATCTGGAATACTCAATTGCAATGGAGTACAGTGGACCCCTGGTTAGTCATGACATCCCGCAGGTTGTTCCGGTTGTTTTAGACCGGATTCCGGCAGCAACCTTGTTTGATGCTTCTTTCATATCAAACAGTCAAATATTGTCAATCCCGGTTATTCGACCAATTGCCAAGACAAAGGATCATTTCAACAACAAAGGGATACCAAAGGCCTCCTCTGAGTCTACACAAACAAGGGGTTCTTTAAATTCCATCTGTGGTGACGAATATGCCTCTAACAAAGGGTATGATTGCGTTGAAAGTTCTGGAACGTTGGGTTTTTCTGACCATCGCGACCATTCCAATGAAATTTCAGAGAGTTCGGGTGCTTTGAGTAGTGAAGAGGTTGAAGAAACTACTGAAATCCAGTCAGGTGATAATGTGATCACCTCAAACAGTGACGATGGCGTTGTAAATTTCCCAGTGAAGTCCTTAGTCGTCACAACTCGTTCGAAGAAGTGTTTTCGGTGTCACAAAAGAAGCATGTTTATAAAGAGGGAAGTTTGTTTGGTTTGCAATGCAAAGTATTGTGACAAATGTGTTGTAAGAGCAATGGGTTCGATGCCAGAAGGGAGGAAATGCATCACTTGTATTGGTTATGGGATCAATGAAAGAAAGCGGGATTTGTTAGGGAAGTCCTCTGCAATGCTCAAGAGATTGTTCACCGGTGACGAGGTTAAAAGGGTCATGACATTGGAGAAATCATGCAAAGCCAATCAAGTCCCTTCCAAACGTGTCATTGTGAATGGTAAATGCCTTTCACCCCAAGAGTTAGTCGTTTTGCAGAGCTGTCCTCACCCACCTAAGAAGTTGAAGCCCGGGAGGTATTGGTATGATCAAGTCTCGGGATTTTGGGGGAAGGTTAGTTTGTTTATATTCAAACACGACTAATGAATAGTGATATGCCCAACAAGTTACAAGAGTTGTAACCGTTTCGGAATTTTTCATTGGTTGAATAGGAGGGCGAGAGACCTTGTCAAATTATTAGTGACCAGCTACCAGTAGGCGAAACAATCAAGCGAGATGCTAGCAATGGAAACACTGATGTAATCATAAATGGCCGGGAGATTACAGGGGCAGAGCTATGGATGATGAAGGTTTGTATAGGATGCGCCGTGAAGCCTTAGTTTTACCTAAACATGTGAGATTACCAAAGTTTAGATGGTTTTGAGGAATCTTTAACACTTTGCAGGTGATTGGAATCCATTGCGATCGGAGCGTTCACTTCTGGCTGCAGGCCGATGGTACTTACCAGCATGAAGGTATGAAGAATGTTATGGGGAATCTTTGGGAAAAGGTAACTTATAACAATTTTTTTTAACTAACGATTATGACTTTTCTGGATACATTAAAAAATGAATGAATGTAGACGTGATGTATGTCCATGTTCATTTGCAGACAGGAGTGAACCTAGCATGTGCCATTGCATCATTACCAACTCCTCCCAAGCCCTCGCGTTCAAGTAGACAAGAAATTGACCAACATATAGACAACGATCGTCAGGATCAAACATATCTTTACAAGGTATTACTTGTTGGTTGTGATCGATCCGGGACGAGTACTATTTTTAAACAGGTATATTGTGTATCAGTGTATGCATGCTTTATGTGTTTTGTCAGTTTTGTATAGACATCCTTTCCAGACCCTACTTTTTATGGGATTTCATTCGTGGATATGATGGTTCTTAATCCTTATTTTTCAGGCCAAAATTGAAAATGATGTTCGTTTCGAGGAAAATGAGCGTCAATGTTTCAAACGCGTCATCCAGGGCAATTTGTACAAGTACATAAGCATATTGTTAGAGGGTCGCGATCAATTCGAAGAAGGCTACCGAATTATATACAGGCAAAAACACATAGATGAACCCGGCCCTTCAGGTACCTTCTTACTTGCACGATATATAACTATCCCTTAGCTTTCGTTAAAAAGTAAAAAAAAAACAAACTTGGTTACTGCATTCAGTGATCCATGAGCAAGAAGATGAAGAGAATATTTACTCAATGAATCCACGGCTCAAGAAGTTTGCGGATTGGCTACTCCAAGTATGGATGTCGGGAAATCTTGAAGCCATTTTCCCTGCGGCTACGCGCGAGTATTCGCCATGGGTAGAGGAGCTGTGGAAAGACAAAGCTTTTCAAGCGACCTATCAGCGCAGATTTGAGTTGCATATGCTGCCCAGAGTCGCTGCCCATTTCTTAGAGCGGGCGGTTGAGATCTCTCGGCCTGACTATGACCCTTCTTCCATGGACATTTTGTACGCCGAGGGTTGTGCTTCTGCAGCAAATGGGGTTGCTTTGGTCGAATTCTCCCTCTCCAAGCTCTCTAATGATAGCCACATGACGACCATCGGTCAAAATAATTCCTCCATTCGGTATGTTGTTCATTCATTGAGTTGAACTAGATAATTGATTACGATTCATCCTTTCTTTCTTTTAGGATGGATCCCTTTAGTAGGTAGGGGAAAACTTAACTGCAAGAAGTCATTTTCCCCTTTTCCGGTGTTTGGTTGTTCCAGTTGAGTGATTCTAATGATGCAATATATGCTCAGGTGTGAACTGACGAGGGTTCCTGCGAGCAGCCTGGGGGAGAATTGCAAGTTCTTGGAGATGTTTGAGGACACCGACATTGTCCTATACACGGTTTCGCTGACGGATTATATAGAGGATCATGAAGACCACAATGGCGTGGTCACGAACAAGATGGTGGAGAGCAAGAAACTCTTTGAGAGCATCGCGACTCACCCGTCTTTCGCCCATAAACATTTCCTCCTATTGCTTACAAAGTTCGACGTTCTAGAGGAACTCATAGAACAGTTCCCTCTTTGTAAGTGCGAGTGGTTCCACGACTTCAATCCGATAATCAGCCGCAACTCCAACAACAACAACGGAAGTAACCCGTCATTGGCACAGCGCGCGTTCCACTACATCGCTTCGCAGTTTAAAGCGACGTACAAGACGCTAACAGGGCGGAAACTGTACGTTTCACATGTCACGGGGATCACGGGCGAATCCGTCAACGATGCTCTAAAATACGCGTGTGAGATTCTCAGTTGGGACGAAGAGGAAGATTTAGTGTTGCACGAATGGGCTGCGGAGAACACGGAGGTTAGCACAAGTGTGTAACCATTAATCATATCTTCTCCTCCTCCTCCTCGCTATGTCATAGTTTGACATCATTGATGATATATCTATGCGGTTACATATAATGATTGTCCGTACGTGTCTCTGAGATACAATAGTGTCATCAATGGTGTCAAACTTGCATGATCAATGAAAGAAATTATTATGTTTTCATTCAATGTCTTGTGTAGCAAATAATGCTACAACTTACAACATCCATCCCATCTTGTGAACATATGTGTCTGGTCTAAATAAGATGGGGGAAAAGAGAGAAATTTGTACAAACAGCAAAACATAAAGACATGAATATACTTATATACATACACACACATGTTGGTTCATGCTCTCTAGATCTTGTCTCGCTCGGTTTTCGTCGACCTTTAGCGTAAACTATGCTAAAAGGTTGGGGAAAACCGCGCGAGACGGGAGATTATTCAAAGCCTGGCGCCGGCCGGGGTTTGTTTTAGTAAGGGGCAAAGCGGTCCATGATCAAGAAAACGGTGGACTCTGTATCATCCACCGATGATTGCGGAGCAGGCGAAGAAGATGAAGACGAAGAGACCAGAGCAGGGCCTGTGTTTCTGGGTCTGAGGAGAAATGGGTTTGTTGTGGAGGATTGAACTTTTTCCTTGAGCTTTGCAAGCTGGACCATACAAGCTTCAACCAATGCAGCCATTTTTTCTTCTTTTCTGGTTTTGTTTCTTGGAGAAGATGAAGATGGTGAAATAAATTTGCAGATAATGAATTGTTACTGGATGAAAAATTTGGGGGAATTAAGGATGTATTTATGTGTGTGTGTGGGTTTGGGGAGATATTTCTGTGGGTATTTTTGTTGATTGGTTTAGGAGAAAACCGGGTGCTTGGTGCCCTCCGGAATAAGATTGGGAACATTGATTCTCAAATAAAATTCAATGTTTGGGATATAATTTTATGGCCTATAGAACTTAAAAGGAAAGTTTTTTTGGGACAGAGAAAATAATGTTTAGACGGTTTAGAAATAATGTTTGTAAATAGCTTTAATAAGGAGTCTAATGTTTGGATGATGCAAATTAAATTTGAAAATTCTTAACACCAAAACTTATTGTTGAATAGTTTTTTTTGTTTTGAATTAATAGTCTACATTTGGTTAGGTAAAGAGTTTAAAATAAAATAAAACTATATGATTGAAAGTGAAGGAGATGATGAAAAAAGATGGAGGATAAGCAGCAAACATGAACACAAGATCCAAAATTTCATCGAAACTCTTCAAGAAGATAATGGATAAAGGGCGGATAACGAGGAATAAGGTGGATAGATAAGGTGAATTATTTAAGGGTAGTTTAGAAATTTTATTCTTAAAAACTTACTATATAAGGAAACATGTAATTTATGTTTGGGACGGTAAAAAAAAATAGACATTTTAAAATTAGACGGATGGAGTACCTTAGAAGTGTTTTATAAAAACAAAAAAGATTTGACTATGTTACTTCCTCTGTTTCATATCTTTCTTTACAGAGTACTATTATAACTTCATGAAAACTTTTATTTATTTATGTTTTTTCATAATCTATACGATAAAATAAAATATTCTTGTCACCACTTATTTTGTTAAACTTTTGATGTAGTTTTTAAATATGTAAGTTTTTTACTTCGAATTTTTTATTTTTATACCAATATTTAAGTAAAATAAATTTTTAAAAAATTTATAATTTCTCTTTGTTTTGTTCCACGTAAAGAAAGATATAAGACGACTGTATAACCAATGATTAAAGCCAATGAACACAAAAAGGAATTTTATGGATCGGAAAAAAAAGTTTTACACAGAAACAGAGAGAACTAGTGTTAATTAATGTAGATACGCTACAAAAATCAATCGGGGGTGTAGCTCATATGGTAGAGCGCTCGCTTCGCATGCGAGAGGCACGGGGTTCGATTCCCCGCACCTCCATATTTTTTTTCTACTCGAACAGACCTTGCTTCCTACCGTAAAGTGTTTTGCGTAAAACAGTAAAAAGTAAAAACAACTTTTACTTTTTAGTTTCCTTTATTAAACGCGGCAATATCCGCTGATTGCTGTCGTTTTGTTCTCTAGTCCCGGGCACCCACCCTCCTCCGTCACCGTCGCCGTCTCTCCCCGACGATCCCACAAATTCCCAAATTTCAAAACAAGAAAAGAATCTTAAACGGGCATTATCCGCATTCTTTTGCTTTCCCACTTTCATTTTTTGGTTGATTTTCTTTCTTATTCTTCTTAATCTCGACGAATTTCTAAGATCCCAGAAATTTCAGAAAGGAGGCGAGCGAATTGTCAAACACGGCGCCGGAAATCATGGCGGGACCGGCGGCGAAGACGACGATGATGATGGCGATGATGATTATGATTGAATCTGCAAAATCCGAGGACACAAATTCGGTGTTCGATCCATGTCTGGACACCAAGGTTCAGAAGAAGGACGGATTCACATTCGGATTGGTCTTCTCCTCCCGGGAAAACTTCTTTTTCAACCAGACACAGCTCTCGCCCTGCGATCGCCGGCTGTCACTCTCCGGCAAATCCGCCCAGCTCGCCGTTTTCCGGCCCAAGGTCGACGAGATCTCCCTGCTCACCATCAACAGCACCAAGGCGGATGGTCACATGGTCGCCTTTGCCGGGCGGCAATACGCCGCTCGGTCCCTCCCCGTCCTCGTCGCCGACAAGAATCACATCATCACCGGCCATACCTTGGTAAATTGAGTTTTAAAATTTGATTGAGCTATTCTTAGAAGGGTTAGGGTTCTATAGCCACTCAAAGAGAATCGCTATGGAAAAATATCATGCCCCGTTTTAAAAATTGACCGTTCTTATCCCTACTCCATCCGGTAAACTCTCCACCCCGTCCCGATCCGAACACGCCCCCATCCCTTTCTATTACACCCAAGTTGATTTTGACTTTGAAGTCAAATTTTGACTCCAAAGTTAAAATCAACTTGGGGGTGCAATTGAAGGAGGTGGGGGGCGTGTTCGGGTCGGGGGTGTGGGTTTACCAGGAGAGCTAGGGAGCTAGGGGATAAGAAGAGACAAAATTGATAGTTCCTACCCCTAACTCACGGTAAACTCTCACTCATTCCCGACTCAAAACTCAAAGAGACTGGTTGACAACGTCCTTATTAGGATCCTTACTATGTTCCGTTCGTAAAATTGATTGTAACTACCTCTAATCTCTCGGCTAACTCCTCGTCGAGGGTGTATCTCCCAACCACGTTAATTGCTGGGTGCAAATTTAGTTGACTTTGAGTTCAGAAATGTGAGGGGCAATTAGTTATGGTTCTTTTTAATTGATGCAGGTTTTGGAATTTCAGAAGGGCACTTTACAGAACCTGTATTGGAAGAAGTTCGGGTGTGATTCCTGCAACAATGGGGATTCGTTTGTGTGCCTCAACAACACAGACTGCGCAATCCCGGCCGAGAAATGCGACGGAAATGGCGGAACGGTGGACTGTAATCTGAGCATACAGTTGGCGTTTTCCGGCACGGACAAGAACGATGTCGTCTTCAACAGCTGGTACGAGGTGAAGAACCTCAGACAATATTCACTCTATGGCCTTTACTCTGGTCTCAGGGACTCCATTACAAATCCCTTCAAGAACCTCTTCTAACCATCATCATCATCCATGGCTAATTAATACAACAACAATGATGATGATGATGATAATGACACCAGAACATGAATATCATCAAATTTCTGTACTGAAAACTTCATATACTTCACAAAAAAGGCTTAATTTGTTAGTGTGACTAAATATTTTTTTTGTCAAAGTTTTGATAATATACATGTCTGTTTGGAAATAATACTAGAGATTAACGTTAGCGTTTTGAAAAGACTATCTACGAGCAGCGTTTAGCGATTTCAAAGAAATATGCACCGTTAAAATTTTATCCCAAACGTTAATCTCTAACAGCAAAAGTTAAAGATTATTTTATCCAAAATGGGAAAAGTTTTCTGAAAGTATCTTAAAAAATTAAAGTGCCCAATGATCTTTTAAAAAAACAAAATTTAGCAGCTTTACTGTCATTCAGAGCTACAAATGCACACCACCCCAATAAAATATGTGACAATAATAAATAAATAAAATTGAGCACCAATAAGTTCCCTATACATCAACAATCTATTTTACAATCTGTACAAATATATGAAGCATAAACAGCACCAAATGTGTGCATTCAGACTCATCATTCTGGAATTTGACTGCCCGGCAGCACCATAGACGCTTCATGGATATCTTTCGCTTTGTTTTTTAATAAGTAAAAAGACGAAGGTGCCCCTTACGGAGATTGAGCGCGGATATCTCTCACGGTGTCGTGTAACTCGGGAAAAATGGTAACTAGCAAGAGTTCGAGGATCCCAAATGCCAGTTGCTTTAAACAGACAGTAGACTGCACAATTCATAAACCTCCTTTAGCCCCGAGTGTTCGACGTGGGACTATATCCTCAACAGTACCAGACAAGGGCGGGCCCAGGATTTTTTACCATGGGATCGATCATATATTTAAAAATTTGAGACAGTATATCATTTGTTGGGTCGTAAGTAAAATAAGATTCATATTTGAAAGTATTCTTAAAAATAACTTTATGTTATTAACATGTAATAAAAAATTTTAAAATTGACATTCAAAATTTACTATAAAATTTTAAATGAGATGGATGAATCATTAAAAAGTGAATGATATATAATAAGAATTTATTTTAAGAAAACAGGAATAATATCAACTACATATTTTTTTCTATAAATAAGTAAAGTGTAAAGTTTATAAGTTTGCTTGATATAGAAGAGAATAGACAAATAAAAAATAGTTATGTTGATTAATAGTTTAATACGAAAGGAGGTACACAATTTTTGAAGTACTTAAGAAAATTGAAACACTCCATAAACATAAACTTTACTATAGATTTTTAAATGAAATGGATAAAACATTAAAAAGTTAAATAATTGGTGCCTTTTAAATACATCTTTGCATCCTATATTGAAATTTAAATAATTAAAAACATTATAAATTTAAAAAATAATCTAATTATTTTAACATATTTACAAATCACAATCTTACAAAATAAAATAGCAAATTCAATTCGCTATTCACAATAACAAATTCATAAGAATAAATTATAATATTCACAATTCACAAATATAAATAGAAATATTTAGTTTAGATTAAATTATGTAAAAAAAAACATAGAAAATTAAAGCAACGAATTATGTCAAAAAAAACAGCAAAGGGGCAAAAATGAGTTTGGGATAAAATCGCCTACACTAAGGATCGAACCTGCGTCGCCCAGGCAATCAACATTGCTCAAACGCGGAGCTTTCCACTCCTTCAACATGTCCCCGTTCTTTCATTTAGCGTTTTATGAAATATATACTAACTATACAAATACACCTAAAAATTTATATATATAGGTAAAAAAAATTTAAAATTTTCGTGGGGTCGCTTGACCCCGTATGACTCAACGTGGGTCCGCCCCTGGTATCAGACAAAAAAAACCCACAAAAATTCATACCTGAAGGAAATAATATATATCTCGGGCACATCGTCTGTACTGTTTATGACCGATCAAGCCTACTAAAGTGGCGGGAGCACCATCTAGAAAAAAAGTCATAGAAAAAAGAATGAAAAGGTGAGAGCTTTACACTGTATTTGGTTCTCGGAATTAGGGGGAAAAAGAAAATGGTTTTCTCTCATTTTCTTCATCAAAAGGGGGGAATTTTGTATTCCCTCCTCTTATGCTCTTATAGTTCATTTTGTCTTCTTGGTTTTATTCCTTCCACTTTTCTTTTCTTTTCTCTTCCTCTCCAACCAAACAACAAAAAATGTTTTTTTAATTATCTCATTTTATTTTCTTTTCCCTTTCAAATTCCTTGAACCAAACAAAGTGTTAAGGTAAGATAATGTGGTTGTAACGAAAGAAATAAATAGCTAACCGAAAAGCATCTTCTTCACTTCACTAGCTCGGCGCACAGCCTCAAGCTGTTCCTCAAAAGATCCTTCTTTGAAGGCCACCCTAATCCCAGATTCCACTTCTTGATTTGGCTGACCAGTGTTCATTTCGCTTTGAGCATTCAATTTCAAGAAGAAAGTTCCATCTGGCCATAAAATCTATAGAGAGAGAAATTTAAGAAAAAGGAACACAAAAACCAACAAGCCCAGTAGAATCACACAAGACAGTAAGAATTTGGGATCGATGAAATAAGTTTCTGGTGAATGATGTGATGAGATGAAAAGAGACATTTACATTTTGGACCCATTGTATTCCGTGGGCGATTACATCCTCTCTCCGAAGCCAATGAATTTGCTGTAACAGCCATTCATCAATTGCATCCTCCATCATTAACTGTAATATTTGTTTCGATATCCAAAATACTTGCCTCCTACTCACACAAGAAGCAATTTCATTTACTTTTACATTACAAAAGATTTATACTTGCAATAGAGTAAAACTAATTAACAAGGATACAAGAGTGTCTTATGTAGCTGACCTTAACCAACCTCTTCTCTTTAGCTGAAAAATGTTGTCCACCAGATTCAGAACAGGGACACTTAAATTAGGAGGGGTCCACTGCATGGAAAAAGAAGCACGGAAACACAAAATGAGATGGAAATCCAGATGAAGTGACTGGCGTGTATCGCGAATAAATCTTTAAATTAATCGTATGAGTTCTACAAGAATGTAACTATGGCTGGAAAATGACCTCTGGGGGCACCCTGCTTGGATCGAGTGGTTGACTTGGCACAATTGCCGAACATGCTTCAGGGCTAAATGATCCAATAAACTTCTCGTCGTGTTTAACCACTCTGGGTGGGAACTCTTTTGAGTTCAATTCATTGTCAGAATGCCATCCATTGACTAGTGGACTTGACTCTGTCCCAATCTTGGTGCCTATATCATCATCAGAATTATAACTGTTAGCCGACTCCGACGTACTTTGTGTCAATGCCAGTTTGCCAACTTCATCACCACTCCATGGTGTCTCTCTCTGAGAGCTACCAGATAAACTGGCAGCCACCGGTTCATAGGAGGAAGGGGTGCTGGAAACTTTCCTCACTAGACCATCTGAGACTCCTTTAAATTGACGCACGATGTCATCCATAGCATCATCCACATTAACTGCCCAATATTAAAAATAATATCTTTTAAAGAATAACTAGGGGAACAACCATAAGTATCAAATACTAAATATTTCTCGATACACTTATTTCACAAAGCACCAAAGGAAAGAGAGTTTTTGAAGTATTCTAGGCATGAAGGCTTCTTAAATAAATGTACTTATCAGTTATTTTACATCACAAGAACAACAGTTTACAACTCAAACAAATACCCAAAATCTAAAATTTCTCAAAAACGATCCTAAATGGAACAGCTACAAATAACTCAAGCAAACAGGCCTTCCCATTTTGAAAACAAGAAGACACTTCCCCAAAACAGTTTTTTTGTTTTTTTAGCTAAAGATTATAGTAGTACATAGAACATCTCATTTGGTAGCCTTGTGCGAAAGTGTTTTCCTTAAAACATCTTCCTCAGAAAATATTTTTGACGAGTTATTTTTTGTAAAACAAACCGTACGCAAGTCCTGATATAAAGCACAGTGAAGATAAAAGACAAGAAAGGTGCCAAATACCTGCCAAGCTTCTCATCACGGAAGATGATTTCCCAAAGGAGTAATTCTTCATTCATGTAAATAAAGGGTTAGTATTTTCTTAGGTTGAGCATGAACAAACAAAACTGCAGGAAGTACAAACCTTAGAGGAATCACTCAGAAAGTCCCACACTTCAAGTTGCTCAGCCACATTAGCAATTGACAACAGGTCCTAGAAAAAAAAGAGGATGGGACTGAAACAAGCTATAAAAGAAAACCGCAAATTTAAACTTTATCACTCCATACTAAAAAGAATTATGTCTAGTAAGCGTACAACCTCAAAATTTTGGAAAGGGGCAAATCGAATAAGTCGTGAAACCCGTAGCATACATATAAAACCTAATGATTAGTTTAACTAAATTTACCATGTTTGACTTTTTTGTAACTCTTTTTGGGCAAATTACAAAAAAATAGCTTCTTCATCAAATATGACTCTTTTAGTGAGAAAAAAGCTTTTGGAATGTAGAAACATACTTGCAGATACTTATCAAGCTGAAGGCAACGCTGATGAACAAAAGCATCCTCCATGTTTGAAGAAAAAATCCTTTTAGGAGGCAAATGTAAAGTGTAATTTGGAATGTCCTTCAGGTGCCGGTGCAATCTCTCAAAGTTACTGTATCTGTTAATAAATCATGGAAAATAATACCTATATTAATATAACAAGACACATGTGAACCTGTGAAAGATAACTATTTTTGGCCATTCAAGAAAAGATAAAAAACAAACACAACCTTCTCTTTACAAACCAAGTGTTGTTAGAATTCGTCACTGCAATTGAATAAACTGCAAAAGATTTTGAGCCCATTTTCTCAAAATATGCTCCTACAACCTGATGCATTATAAAGAACCAGCTGTCAGACCAGAAGGAAAAGAACATCACAATAACTGCGAATAGAATCAGTCGATGGCCCATATTCATAAAGCTGGCTGCTTAAATTATCATATTACGCCTCTTCAAGACCTAATAACAATACAAGTATTAATTTTACCCGGCACTTGAGCTTTGGTACTTGATGTACATCACTTTGTAAAACCATTTCTGAAGAAGCCCATTCGGTACTGTGCACTTCAACATTCCCTCTAGATTCTGGGGTGTAAAAATCTGAAATAACAGGCCCTTCCATATTTGGTTGACTACTCAAATCAGAAGTGCTGTTTGATCTCTTAAGCTTTGTGGTTCCTCTGCTTTCATGGCTAATTAATGTGGCAAAAGTATTACTCTGATCTGTAGGAGGTTTAAAGTTTGGATGACGCCTAGGGAGTGACTGTCTCACATGAACTTGAAGATCCTTCTTCTGGAGCTTCTTTTTGTAATTTCTTCCAATGGCCCACATGTTCTCAAGGTTTTCAGGCATAAGAACTTCTTTTCTTCTCTGAGTTGCTGCTTCAAGGACACGTGCCCAGTCAGCAGGCTGAAGAGGCGTACGCTCATCTTTTTGAGTTATTATATTAGATGAGTTACTCTCCAAACCTTCAGAGGATGACAATAGTTGCTGATGATGATCATCCGCTTTATTAGATGATAATGAAGATTTAGAGTGCATTGTTTTGGAAGGACCCATTAGATCATGATTATGACTCTCTGAATTGGATGACTGGGTATTGCATGTACCTGTGACCCCCTTGTCATTAATTGCAAGGAGAATGTATTCAATCAACTCATTGATATACCTGCAAGTATGTCAAGCGGTATTAGACACGAAAAGAAGCTTTGACTCTACTGATATGAAATTATAACTAAAAATACAGTACAAAACATTGTTTAGTGTATTGTTTGGTATGAGATAACCGAAAAGTACTGCGGACCCCGCTCTTCTATTTTTCTCCTACCCAAATAACACCACTAGAGGCTTTCTATCCTGTTTCTCTCTTATCTATTTTCTTGTAAAGCAAACAAACCATTCAGGAACTTAAGCTAATTGCACACAACCAAATACTTGATAGATAAATGAAAAGCTGCAGTACTTCAAATACCCAACTAACTCTGGATTTTATTAATTAAAAATAAAACATGGTAGTAGGTGTTGGGCATTCATGGACCGCCATGACATAACCCATATTTCAAAGTGTAAAGATAACTCACCCTGGACTTGCAAAATTCAAAATAGGTTGCATAACCAAACATGTTAGCAATTCTCTAGCTATACATAGAGCCAACGGGCATTGAGCTTCGCTTGGTTGCAGAACTACAGTTAGGACTCCTCTCATGAGCCGCTGGAGGACCTATAAAGAAAGAAACAAGCATTACTTGAATATTTAAATCCAAGACTAACAATCAATTGAAATTACAAAAAAAATCATCAGAACACTCCACTCACACCTTGTACTCACACTCTGGAGATATTAGAGCAGGATGAAGTTCTTGTGAGGTCAGCAGGTGGTGTTTCAATCTCTCATCCCTCTCTTCAGAAGACAGAGTTGCCATAACATCCACGCCAATTGAAGCCTGGTTTCTTCGGTAAAGATCCAAGTGGTCCCCTATTAGGTCCACCACATCCCTTAATTATATTGACAAAAATGGTTCAGAATCAAGAAAAGGGAAAGAATATGTGCAGAGAAAAGCTCGGGGAAAGGTTCGCGCAGTTCCAGAATTACCCTCCCCTTTAAGAGAATTTTTAAGGGGTTTAACTCTCGAACATCATCAATTTATTCCCAGAAGCTTTTCCGGGATCTTTCACTGCACATAACTTAATTGAGCATATATGATAACAGAACAAAAAGAAAACAAAATACCTGGTCAGCAAGTCAACAAGGTTTATTTGTTTAACTCTATGTGAAATTTCTCCAAGAGCCTCCATGACTATAGCATGTATTAGCTCAGGCGCCTCCTGGTCAGGCGTGATAACAGAGTACCACAGGTCTGTTACAAAATCGCGCAAAAGCTTCTGAATGAAATCCTCCATGGCTGACTCCACAAGGGGTGAATCAATTTTGCTCTTCCAATTTGGCAGCGGCGGCGATGTCGGTAGCCGAGAATCATCTATACATAGTTGCTTCTTTCCTAAATGTGACAAGTATGTCTTTGGTCTAACATTCTGAATTCTCCAAGAAAATTCCACCTCCTTCAATAGCATCCTGAGCCCACAAACCAACAATATAGCCACTGGCAGATTCATCCACATTGACTTACTAGTGTCTGCAATCATCAAAATATTCCAGACACAAATTCCATAAACCCCATGGTAGGGAATTACAGAAAAAGACAAGTTTACTAAGCAAATGCACGCAAGCAAGAACAGTTTTTTTTATATGAAATAAACTCCAAATTTCCAGAAAGACATGAACTTTATGGCAAAATCAGCCAAACGAAAGCGCAGAAGTGTGAACTTACGTGTTAAGAAGTAGCAAACGGAGAATATACAGAGAGCCCACCAAACAGCTCGAAGCTTGGCTTCTTCGATCAGATCTTGAAGGGTCTCCATGGGCTTCATTCTAAACGAAGAACCCTAGAATTTTTTCACAGTCTTGCAGCTCAACGCATCAAAGCATATATAAATCAATCGGTTCAAAGGGAAACGCCCGGAGCACAAATTCCAGATTCGGCCGCTTGCCGGGACAAGATTTAACCTTGCACAGGCGATTTTTTGTTTTCTGGTTTCCACTGGCAAAAAGGAGTAATCGGCGATTTGAAGAGTTTACCTTTTCCGAGTATGATTGGTGTTTGAGTGTGGTGCGGGACGGAGGAGAGAGAAAATGCGTGGGAAAAAAACAAAGATTCTTTTCTCTTTTTTTTTTGTAAATCGGCCGGCAAGAAGTTGGAGTTGGACCATAAAAGGAATTTTGGCCGGTAAAGAACTCTCTGGTAAGAAGGTTGGCTCATACAGTTCTCCGTATTCTTGTTTACTTTGATGAATTCTTTTGAAGGATGAATCTAAGAATGAATTCTTTTTTAATCTAAAATTAGATTTTACCTACATGTTTATTTAGATGATCATTTAATTGAGTAACTTTTTAACACTTTAAATCTTCTAATATTTTCTAACTTTTTTCAATATTTTCTAATTTTTTTCTGTGTCTTTCAATATCCAACTCTGAAATTCTAATACAAAAGAACATGACCTACAATGGTAAATCAATCAAAATATTGTATATTTCCTTTGTAATTTTGCAATATTCCATATTTATATTTGAGTAATTTTATAATTGGTTCTTTATAACAGATAATTTTTCATATTTAGCTCTTTATTATCAAATATTATGGTCATAGTCCTTTTTTTAGATACTTTTACACACATAGTTTTTTTGACTTATTGTCATGTTAGTATTAATTTGAGGATTAAAAATGTAATTTCACATCAACCATATGTATAATAATATATTCTTGATGGTGTAAATTACTTGACCGGTCAAACTATACTAGACCGGGTCTAGAATAGTTCGCTTGATTTGGCAAAGTAAGAAAGGTAAAAACACGCAAATTGACCGGTAGGACTTTAGGTGGAACACCTGTAGCCCGATTTATATTATAACGAAGAATGCACGGGTGCTTTTACAAGGGAGTTTAGAGAGAATGAATTCGGATCCCTCTTTCTGAGGTTTACATGAGTATTTATACTAGGCTAAGGGGACAGGACCACGTGCGCCCACGTGGGGGCATGCTGCTGATGTGGTGCAAGGTGACTGGTTTCGTCCTCAAGCTGCCTTGTCGCCTTGTGAAGGGGATCATTCCCTTTGTCGAGTAGTGCCTTGGATGGATTCTTCAGCATCTCCAGTTGTCCTCTACTGACACGGGTCGCTACACGCCAAGCCCTCGCAGATCCTC